CAGTGGCACACACCTATAATCTCAGCTACTCAAAAGGATGAGTTCAAGGACAGCCTAGGCAATATAGGAGACCCTGTTCTTAAAAAATATTTCAGTCAAACAATTTTTAAGTGAGAATGGCCTACAAGAAAATATTTTCAGTGCACATAGAAAAAATAGTAGAAGGTATAAGGATTAGAAAAGAAGACATAAAAATTGTCATCATTTACAGATGATAAATTACAATTTAGAAAATAGAAAATAATTTATACATAAATTATCAGGATTGACAAATAAGTTTGTACACATGGTTAGATAGAAATTTCAGTAAAATTTTTAAAAAATAACTTTTATTTATTTATTTATGTGGAGCTGAGGATCAAACCCAGAGCCTCATACATGCCAGGCAAGTGCTCTACTACTGAGCGACAACCCCAGCCTGATACAGTACAATTGATTAGAAGTGACATATTCAGTATTGTCTTCTCATCCTGAGATAAAATTTTAACCTGTTATCACCAAGTATTATTTGCAATTGTGTATGTTTTAGTTTTAGGTGACATTTTCCTAGGAATTTATATTCATTCAGAAATATTTTCAAATGTACCATTATAATGTTTCTCATAATGTTTTCTTAATTTCTTTAATGGTGTTTCCTTTTTACTTTTGACACACACACACACACACACATTATGTATTTATGGGAATATGACGTTCCTTACTGCATACAACAGGTAATGAGCACATTAAGGAAACACATTCATTATTATGTTCTTTTTTTCTTTCTGTTTTGCTCTACTAGTAGGGATAGAAACTGGGGTGGGGCTGGCAGGTGAGCTCTACCACTGAGCTACAGCCCTAGCTCTTTATTTTATTTTTTTTAATTTTGCAGTTTGGTCTCAAATTTGTTATCCTCCTGCCTCACCCTACCAAGTAGCTGGCATTGCAGGCACTTTTTAAAAAATACACTCTAGTTTGTTTTGTCTTTTATGGATCTTCTCTTCATCATTTCCTTCCATATATTTACTGTGTATGTATTTTGGAATTTGTTTATGAAATTCTTTAGATAGGTTCACTGGGGATATGCTTTCACTTACTTTTTTTGTTTATTATTATTTTGTTGTTTAATTTTGGTACCAGGGATTGAACCCAGGGGCACTTAACAACTGAACCACATCCCCATCCTCTTTTTATATTTTATTAGCCACAGGGTCTCACTGAAGTTGTTTAGGGCCTCACTAAATGGCCGAAGCTGGCTTTGAACTTTCAAGCCTCCTGCTTCAGCCTCCTGAGTTGCTAAGATTACAGGCTTGTGCCCTGCTAACTTAGGTTTTTGCATTTTCTTTTAAGGCTCTATGTTTCCTTCTAAATACACACTAAAAACCAGTCTGATTATGAGTTTGTGATTTTCTTTGTGGTCTGACAATTTCATTTTATATAATATGTAATGCTGCTATTCCTGATAATTTGAAACTCTTTATTATGAAGTTCTATGTATCTTCTAATCCTCTTCTAGGCTAACTCTGTGCAATACTACTAAATTTTAAAATTAATTTCAGGGCTAGGAAAGCTGGTCTCTTTAGATAGGATTTTCATTTGTTTCTGCTAAGTTCACGAGAATGCTTACAAAACAAAACAAAACAAAACACCACCCCTCTTTACGTATTGAAATTTGAAGTTCGCTCTAATTCCTCCCAAAGACTTTAAAGACTCCCTTTCTCTTTAATTCTTACAAATATTGTGCAGTTCTTTGAGGTCTTAACAGGCACCCCTTTGCTTCCCATCCTAACTTCCTCTCTGAGCCCACTGAACCTAGCTAAACTTTCAATAACAACATCAGTACGTGCCACCAACCTAAAATGGGAAAACTTTGTCGAGCTTCGCCTGGGTATCCCAAGAATGCCCCCAAATTCAGGGCACTTCCGCCCACCCCCCCACCGTTGCAACGGCGCTTTTCCGATGAGGCATTCTGGGAAATGTAGTCCGGTGAGGCATAGCCCAGAGACACTTCCGTTTCTGGCCGCTGGGACTGGGGAATTCTGGGAATTGGTCCAGGGGCTTCCTATTAGTCGGAAGAAGACTCTTTCCCTGTGGGAAGTGTCTAGAGGGCTTCTCTGATTGGCGGGGACCCTTCAAGCTTTCTCGTCCTGGTTGGGAAGCTCCAGTGCCACTGAGGGTTCGAGGATGGAGCTGGGAGCGGTTCGCCTTTCCCTGGGCAGAGCCTCCTTTTGTAGCCCACTGTTCGTTGCGGGGCGGAGGACTGCCTGGGTAGCGTGTTGCCTGGTTTCAATGTTCTCATTGTTCCCAGTGGCTTCCCTCACCTTTGTGTCTGCTCTGCCATTCTTAGCATTACATCGTTTTGCGAATTACTCAATCTCCATCTGCCCTATTCTTATATTTGAGGTGATATAGCAGCCCCGTATCAATTTAGAGGAATTAATTCACTAAATGATCATAACAGATTTATGAGGTTTATGCCTACACCACCATTTTCCCCCTAAAGATAAGAGAATGGAAGTGCCGACAAGAAAGCAAGCTATCTTATTACTGAATGGGATATGCAGAGTATCTTATGTTAGGCAATCTGCAAAAGGGATTATATTCCAAGGGGACAAATTCCGGACCTTTGAAAAACACTTCTGGGCTATAAACTTTGGAATTTTTTTAAGCCTCTAAGAAGATTTACATGTGTATCAAATGTTATGGGAAGAATTCAGAAGCACTAGATTGCTTGTGAAACTGCTCTAAGAAAAAGGAAAGGGAAAATGGACCCTTTGGGCAAGGCAAAAAAATTTTTTCATTTACTTTTTTTTTTTTTTTTTTGTACTTGGAATTGAATCCAGAAGGGCTTTACCACTGAGCCATATCCCCAGACCATTTTATTTTTTGAATTAGGGTCTCACTAAGTTGCGTGGGATCTTGATGATTTTCTGAGGCTGGCCTTGAACTTGCAGATCCTCCAGTCTCAGCCTCCCCAGTCACTAGAATTATAGGCATGCACTATCATACCCAACCCCCACTTACTCTCTCTCTCTTTTTTAAAAATATTTTTATTTGTCAATGGACATTTATTTTATTAATTTATATGCAGTACTGGGAATTGAAAGGAGTGCCTCTTATGTGCTAGGCAAGCGCTCTACCACTTAGCCACAACCCCAGCCTCCCATTTACTCTTATAGAGTTTATGTTGTTTGCTCAAGACTTATAGTTAGTAAGAAGCAGAATTTCCATTTGAATCCAGAATTGGAGCCTCAAATCTGTGTTCATAATCTTTGTTGTACTTTTTTTTTTAATCCATAGAAAATAGTCATGTATATGGTTTGAGGAACACTTTCAAGAATGATGACCATAGCCAGCGTCTCAATAAGGAGTCCTCCTTTTTGTCCAAGAATCCAAGCCCCCCTAATACTTGCAATCTCAGATAATTAGCAAATAACAAAGCATAGGTCTTCAGAAATATATTTACAGGAAATAAAGCCCCTGATAGAGCTAGTCCACATGGGTTCTGAAACTAGACAAGCAGAAAATGGCTTTGAATAGTCTGAATCCATCCCATTTATCGATTTATGATTTTATTTTGTGCTTTAGGAGTCTTGTTAAGGAAGTCAGAGTTAAAAAGGTACACTCATACATTGCTAGGGGGAAAGAAAATTTGGTGCAACCATTGTGGAAAGTGGTGTGGAGATTCCTCAGAAAACTGGGAATGAAACCACCATTTGATCCAGCTGTCCAACTTCTCAGTTTATACCCAAAGGACTTACAATTAGCATATTACAGTGATGCACCCACATCAATGTTTATAGCAGCTCAGTTCACAATAGATAAACTATGGAACCAACCTATGTGCCCCTCAACAGATGAATGGATTAAAAAAAGTGATAAGTGAGATATATATATGATGGACTATCACTCAGCCTTAAAGAAGAATTAATTTATGGCATTTGCCAGTAAATGGATGAAGGTGGAGAATATCATTCAAAAAAGCCAATCCCCCCAAACCAAAGGCCAAATGTTTTTTCTAACATGCGGATTCTAATTCACAAGGGGGATGGGGGAGGGAAGAATAGAGATACTTTAGTGTAGGTAGAAGGGAGTGAAGGGAGGGAAGTGAAGGAAAGGATAGTAGAATGAGTCAGACATTATTATCTTATGTACATATATAATTATAGGACTGATGTGATTCTACATCACATAAACCCAGAAGAATGAGATATTATACATTATATATGATGTACTAAGTGCGCTCTACTGCAATGTATAACTATTTAAAACAAAATGTTAAAAAAGATAAAGTTAATGAATTTGTTCACTTTTCAAGTGAGAAATTCCCCGAGAAACGATTCCAGTGGCCTCAATTACTTTGAAGAGTGCATAGAAGTCTATGCTGAAGCTTGTGCGTGTGCTTTTTTTTTTTTTTTTACTCTATGTGTAGTTGTGCTCAATATGTCAGTTCAGAATTATTTATGCTGCTAACAAAAGTGGAATTCTACAAAATATTCTGCATCCATTGCATATTTTTGGTCTTTGATTCTCTTTGTATCTAAAAAAATATCTTTCCTATTGGTTAATCCTGTTAAATGTAAACATTGAAAATTAAAAGGTATTGCTTTTTTTTTTTCTTGTTAGTGCTGGGTGTAATTCTATTAGGAAAGGATTACATGATATGTTTCTTACAATCTCTGACTTTCATATTTGCTGTTACTTTTTATTTATTCGCTAGTGAGAAAAACCTTAACTTCTGTCAACAGGAACTGCTTCAGGTCTGCAAAAGGACTGGAAGTCGTGAAGAGGATCCTGGAAGTCGTAGTCCCGAACCTCGGAGAGTTTGGAGACATTTTTTTTTCCTCTGAGAGAGGGAATTCCGTTTTTCCCCCTCCGGGCATTCTGGGAAATGTTATTTCAGAACTCCGGAAGTCATCAAGCAGCGGACGCGCAGCGTTCCTTCTCCTAGGGGCTTCTGGGAAGTGTAGTTTAGGCGTTTCGAGTAGTCTGAGCCGCTTCCGCCGGGGAAAGCAAAGCAGTCACCGTCTTTTGGTCCGGGAGGTGAGGCCGCCCTGCCTGCAGCCACAGCAACCCGCGGAACCTTTTCAGCCTGAGCGTGAGTCTCGCGGCCACCTGACGGCAGTTTAACATGGAGAAGTCGCGGCCGCCGGGGGAGGCCGAGAGGCGGAGGTCAGAAGCGTGGATCCCCTCGGCCCTCCCTGCTTACGGAGCCGCGCTTCTGCGATCCGTGTGAGACAGCTCCCCGTTGCCACCTCTGCGCCGTTTCCTCTGGGAGAGCGGTAAAGCCGGCAGGTCCTGCGGAGGAGCCTAGTTAGATGAGGCTCCGGTCAACGCTCAGGTCGGCGGCGGCGGCGCCTGGTCCCGGGTCGCCTTTTGCTGTCCACACAGTTCTGCGTTCGCAGCGCGCGTTTCACCTGGAAGCTGGCGAAGAGAAACGGGGGCCCGGCCTCGGGAGAAGCCGCAACCCGCCGCCTCATCCTCCGAGAAGCCGAGGGCGTAGTTTCACCGCAGCCTTTTCTTCACCCCTGAATCGGAGCTGGAGGGAGGGACTGTGCTGCCACTGAACCGAAGGCACGTCCTTGCTCCGTGGTCTCTTGCCATCAGCCGGGTTTCCTTCTCTCTGTAAATTATCAGGAGGAAAATGACCAGATTTTTGTCGAATACCTGAGTTATGCGTAGGGCTCAGAAGTGAGTTTATTAATAACACCTCACCCTGACGTCCAGACATTCTTCTGTGGACTATGTAGATTGGTGTAAGTACTGAATTTGATTTCACATCAAATAAGTCGTGTTCCAATTTACTGAATCCTTAAGTAACCAGCAGTTTCAACATTTGCTGCAAACTGCCTCCCCTTTTATTTTAACTATAGTCTTTTAAAGCATATCACAGACATTAGGCCACCTTCTTAAATTCTTTTTTTTTTTTTATTGGTTGTTCAAAACATTACAAAGCTCTTGACATATCATATTTCATACATTAGATTCAAGTGGGTTATGAACTCCCATTTTTACCCCAATTACAGATTGCAGAATCACATCGGTTACACGTCCACATTTTTACATGATGCCATATTCGTGACTGTTGTATTCTGCTACACCTTCTTAAATTCTACCATGAGCTCTGCCGAAGCTTGTGTTTGACATTTGCTCAGTATCTCCTTCCATTCCTTTTCTTTCAAACTTTTTTTTTGTCATTAAACATTTTTTAGAAAGCAGTTGGATTTTTAAAGTGCAGTCAGGGATATTGAATCTGTTTCTTAAAGTGTATTTCTTTTCTACTATATTTGTATATATTTTTAAATTTACCGTACTTCACGTTTCTTCTTTTTGTTCTACATTTTTGACAGTTTTTTTTTTTGTGTGTGTGTGTGTGTGGTTCATTCCCCCTTCTTATTATCCTCAACTGGCTTAGAATTTATTTTGCAGTCTTATGCCATTCTTTTAACTTTTAAAAATAATTAAAAGGGTCCTTTTCTGATATCATGAAGTACCAAGAAATGGTACTTTTAGAAAACTGATACCAGTATCAGTACCTAATCAACAAATACTAATTTTAACCAGCATATAGTCTCATTTTGAAAAAATATAAACTAAAAATACTTAAAATTTAATGTTCCTTTTTTTTGTTGTTGTTGTTGCTTTTAAAAATTTTTTTTTGTTGTTGTTGTTGGATCTTTATTTTATTTATTTATATGCATTGCTGAGAATCAAACCCAGTGCCTCACACATGCTAGGCAAGTGCTCTAACACTATGCTACAATCCCAGCCCTATTGGTTTGTTTTTAATTGGAGGCTAAGTTATAGGCCTGCTTTTTAAAAGCCATCCTCATTATAGTTACTGTGATTTTTTTTTTTTTTTTTTTAATTCAGAGACTATTATGTAGCCAACATGTTGACAGATGTTTTCTTCCAATTAACTTCTTGCAGCTCATCTTTCAGGGTTCATATAGCCATACATTTTCTTCATTTTTGTTCACTTAAAATATCTTTGTTTCTCCCTCATGTAAATAATCATTCATTGAGCATAGAAAGGTTGACAATTATTCTGTTTATAGTAAATGAAGAGAATATCTTCTTGTTTTCAATCTCCAGTTAGTTTTCCTGTTTCTGTCAACCTAATTGTCATTCAAGTAAACTAAATATATTTTCTTTCTAGGAGTTCTCAGATTGTTATTGTTGTTTTCAGTTCTTTGCATTCTTTTAGTCTATCACTGTCCCAAGTTGTGCTGTGATTTATTAGTTTAGGAGTATATTTATTTTTATTTATACTGTTTAGAGTTCCTGTAGGAAATTCTGAGTAATTACCTCTTAAAATAATATGTCTCTGCCATTTCTTCCATTCGCTTCTCTCATTGCTTTTAGACAAATGTTGGAACCTTTTCATTTTAGTTTCCATTATCTTGATTTTTTTTGTCTTTATCTTTCCCTTTGTTATGTGTTTTTCCTTATATCCATGTACATAGAATTAAAGGGAGCCTTTTCTAATATCATAAAGTACCATGAAATGGTACTTTTTAGAAAACTGATACCAGTATCAGTAAAATATTATTAGTGGGCAACAAATTATTAACTAAGAAGATATTTTAAATCAGGATTAGACTTTTCAGAAATTAAAGGTGATTTTATAGACTAACAATGTTTGCAAGTATAATTTAGGATACAAAATATCTTTTTGTTTTGTTTTATAGCTACAAGAGAAAGGGACTCCTGGTTCTTAGAACTTTCCATCTGTTCATTTAATACTTGGAGCTGCTTTATGAGGTAGGTACCATGTTTGATTCTTGTCCTCATTGACACACGACAAAAGTAGGGCACAGAGAGAGTTCTTAACATGCTCTGGGCTATTCAGAATTGTCATTTCTAGAAACCAAACCTGGCATTTGGCTCCAGAACACAACATCTTTTTAGCCCACATGTTAGCCTTTCATCTCTTACCATTCCCAGAAATTCCTACAGTAGGTGGCATTTGGTTGTGTTCGTTGGTCACACTGCCAATGGCATTGAGCTGACAGGCCTCCGAGTAGACGGAATCTACTTGTGCTCTGATTATGGAGCTATGTGGTGGCATCTGTCTGGAAGTGGGGACACTCGTACTCTTCTATAATTTCCACAAAAATCCATATGAGTTAGTGGGAGCTCTAACTTGTATCTCACATCTTCTTCATCCTTCCTCAGACATGCCTATTCAGGAATCTGACCTTCCCCAGAAGGAACAGGAACAAATGACCAAGTTTCAGGTAAGGGATTCTGTGTCTTAGGTATATATTTTTCTCTTCTTTGGAAAGGCTGATGGAAAATAACAGATTTTTTTTTTGGACCCGGGATTGAACCCAGGGGTACTTAACCACTGAACTACATCCCCAACCGTTCTTATGATTTATTTTTGAGACAGAATCTTGCTGAATTGCTTTGGCCTCGCTAAGTTGCTGAGGCTGGCTTCGAACTTGTAATCCTCCTGCCTTAGCTTCCCAAGCTGCTGGGATTAGAGGCATGTACCACTGTGTCCTACAGAATAACAGGTCTTTGAGTATACATTGTATGCTAGATGTGTGTGTGTGTATGTTTGTGTTTTGTTTCATTTATTATCTTTACCATTTTACAAAAAATATTTGAAAAGAGAAACTTTAAGAACAAAATAATCTATATTGCTCTCTTGCTTGTAAACTAGCTCTTTTTACTTTCTTGTATTCCTTTTTCAAGTTCATGTCACTATATATTTGCAATAATGGAATAGGTGAAATTTTGAACGTTTTTTTCATTTAGTTTATATCAAATGTATTTCAGTGGCTATATTATATTCTATTGAATTGGAATGCCCTTTAAAAAATAAATTATTCCTATTAAAACTTTTAAGAGATTTAAGAATTTTACCATTTTAAGGAACACTATAGGAACATTTTCTCTATGTATAACTTTTGTCCCCAGAAAGCAATTCTGGTGGAATTCTGCATTGTTTGTCCTTCAAGTTTTAGGAACTCTAAATTGAAGAGGTATATTTCATGTCAGTTCTCTTAGGTATTTTGTAAGTAGAGCATCCAAAGTATGACATGGTGTAAAGTTATTAAATGTTTTTATAGAAGGAGAGCTATAGTTTTTCCTTGCATGCGTGCGTGCGTGCGTGCATGTGTGTGTGTATATGTGTATGTGTATTTTAGTCACTCATCTATTTATTTTGTCAAAGCAATTGTATATAGGTAGTAGTTGTATATGGTCTAATAGTGTTTAAATACCTCGCCAGTTCTTTCTGTCGTTGCTTTATTCTTTAGAGCACTGTGTGAATATGTAGGTGATTTATCTGCATTTTAAACATGAAGATAGGGGTGTGGGAATATCATATAACTACCCACCTTTTCCCAGGTCACCTGTACATTCAACTCTGAAGTTTCTGACTGTTAGGTAGGAATATTTTCATTCCATTTTTATGAAGAGGTAGACAAGGCAAAAGTATTTTCCAGAAACTGGAGTGCATATCATAGAAGCACCTGCATATGACCCTTTGAAACATAAACTTTAATGGTGCCCTTCATTTGGGTCTCACCAAAGGGCTTGTCTCCTCTCTGTTAGGTGTGTGTCTTAGTCATTCTGAAAACCTAGATGCCTAAACTCAGTTTAATATAAGTAGTTTAAATTTTTCTTCAGCACAAGAAATCAGGCACAATATTACAAGACAATAACCAACTGGTGGGATATATTTAAACAAAGTAAAGGTCAATAGTTCAATTTCCTGCTAGGACTAGTAGGATAGCCTGATGTGGTGGTGCATGCCTATAACTTTAGCAGCTTGGGAGGCTGAGTCAGGAGGATCACAGCCTCAGTAAGTTAGTGGAACTGTCTCAAAATAAAAAAGTAAAAAGGGATGGGGGTGTAGCTTAGTGCTAGAACGCCCCTTAGTTCAATCCTGTACCTTCTCTGCTAAAAAGAGTAAGATAAAACCCATTTGGATTATGAGGAAAAAAATAGGGGTTTCTTCAAAAAAGGAAGTGAATTTATGAAAAAAATAGTGTTAATAATGTATATGAATATTAATAAAGAGATTTATTTTACTTATGTTGTGAAATTTTTTTTTTAAGAGAATTAGGGTATATTTGGCCGAGTTTAAACATGCAAGAATACTTGTATTCATGTGAAAAGTGGATTGAGAAAACTTTTCTAGGGACATTCTGCTAGGCTGCTTTTAAAGTTTTAAAAGTGACTGTTCTATGACTTTGCAATTGCTGCTTCTTGGCAAGATATCTCTCTTTCTCTCTTTTTCTTTCTTTCTCTTTTCTATTTTTTTGCTAAGATCTCCATAAAGGAATTTTTGAAGTATTGATTATAGGTAAAAACATATGACTAATTGTGTATTATTTGGATTAGTTAAATATACATTGTTCCAAGGAATACTGTTCTTTTCACAATGGCGTGAAAGAGATTATAGCAGGGATGTGAATTGTTCAGTTTCTAAGCCCCTGTGGTGCAGTCTTAAGTGCTTTACATGTATTCACCTACCTAGTCTTTTCCAGCACCTTGTGATTTAGACAGCATTGAAGAGAAGAGGAAATTGAGATAGTGAAAAGTTAAGGAACTTGCCCAGGTTTCTGTAAACTAATAAAGGACAGAAATTTTGAAATTTGAACTCAGACAACCTGAGTCCAGAGCTGATCCCTGAACCAACTGTGAATCGGCAGATGGAAGCATCCAGGAAGAGCTATATACTGTCCTAGAGGGTTGCCGAAGGCCTATGAACTTTGCAAACATTTAAAACAGATAAAGAGTTTAAAATTGGGGGGTGGGGGTAGGGGACATTAAAGGAGGGACAGTAATTGAAACAAACTAACTGGGATCCCTTCAAATCTGTATGTACTTATTATTCTGTTGTTTGATATCCTTTTCATGCTGTACTTATTTTTGGTTTGTTTTTGGTGGTACTGGGGATTGAACCCATGTATGCTTTACCACTAAGCTACATCCCTAGACTTTTTTTTTTTCTTTTCTATTTTTTTGAGACATGGTCTTACTAAATTGCTGAGGCTGCCCTTGAATTTGTGATCCTCCTACCTCAGCCTCCCAAGTTGCTGGGATTACAGGTGTGCACCACTGTACCACGCTTGTACTGCACTTTTTCTGGGGGAGCTGTAAAATTGAGGCTATGTGTGTTTGATATTGTAGGAGGCAGTGACATTCAAAGATGTGGCTGTGGTCTTCACCACAGAGGAGCTGGGGCTGCTGGACCTTACTCAGAGGAAGCTGTACCAAGATGTAATGGTGGAGAATTTCAAGAACCTGGTTGCAGTGGGTGAGGACAGGCACCCTCTGACACTGAACTTTAACTCCCTGAAGTATCTCTGTGTCCTCAGATGTTCAAGGCTTTGACCCATTTGAAATGGTTCCCTGCTCTTGAAGGCAAAATGATTTCTAATGTCTGGGATGATAGGGATAAGTTTTAGTGGTGGTTTTGCTACGTGATATTCTTTTCTTTTGAATCACTGGTTCTCAGCTGGGGTGATTTTTCTGTCAGAGGACATTTGGCAATGTCTGGACCCAGTTGTCCCATCTAACGGGTGGTAACCAGGGATGTAGGCCTGCAATGCATAGGACAACGCTCCACAACCCAGAATTCACCAGTGCAAAGGATCAGTCTTGCCACAGTTGAGAGATGTTCTAGATGAACTGTAGATGGGCAACTTTGCTTCTATATTTTATCTTTCAAATTATGGTGGTAAACTACTCCTGGGTCATGAAGTAAACTTAGGGCTTTGTACTGGCATTTTCTTTTCAATGAAATATATGAGGGTAGATTATATCAGAATTCCTTATCAAAAACCACTCACAATTCATCCATAGCATTTTTTAAAATTTATTTTTTAGTTATAGGTAGACACAATGTCTTTATTTTACTTTATGTGGTGCTGAGGATTGAACCCAGTGCTTCACACATGCTAGACGAGTGCTCTACTTCTGAGCCACAACCCCAGCCCTATGACAAATTTTTTTAAAAATAATATTATAATATTTTTTATGCCCTTATTTATTTATTTTTATGTGGTGCCGAGGATCGAACCCAGTGCCTCACACATGCTAGGCAAGCTCTCTACCACAGCCCATGCTGTGACCACTTTGAATGAGTGATGGGAAAGACAGTGTTGGCCAAGTGTAATTTAATACATATATATGTCAAATGTATCATCTAAGAACTAGGCAAGACCTGAGTTTTTTCTTATAGTTCCTGATTTTAAAAAATTCTTAAAATACCACTGAGGATTATATGACTTAGGCAAAAATGTATTTTAGTTGTGTGTTCACCTTAAATATATGTATCTCTGCTTTTTCATAGGGTACCTTCCCTTCAAAGTAGATATGGTGTCCCAGTTGGAAGCAGAAGAAAAGCTTTGGATGATGGAGACAGAAACCCAGAGAAGTAGCTATTTTGGTGAGAACCGTGTAGCTATTCTTTCAGACATGAGCTAGTGAGCTTCTTACCACATGTATCATTGCCACCATAATCTAAGTGTTATCACCTCTCACCTGGATAATGACAAGCACCTCCATGCTGGTCTCCATGCTTCCTCCCTTACATTCGTATAATCTGTCTCTACACAGTAGCCAGGTGATTCTTTAAAAAATAATAAAAAAAATTAGAGCATGCCACTCTAGTTAACCCCCTTCAAAGCCTTCTCTTGTCACTCGACTGGGCTGTAATTCCCTGTCTGATCTCGTATCCTCCCCAAGTTTCTATTTCATTTTCTATCCTTTCTTCCTTGCTTAGATCATTCTGGCCTTTTGGGTCCCCTTGGCATGGACTTTCTGAGTTCTTCTGTTTCGTGGCTTTGGCTATTTCTGTTCACTACCTCAGCAGAACCCTCCAGCCCAGCACAGCCCCTTCCTTACTCCTTTCAGGTCACTTCTCAACTTTCATCCTTTAGAGAAGCCTTCTGTGTCTGTTGTGTTTAAAGTAACTTCTTCCTTCCACTCTCCGTCCTCTTACCTTATCTCTTTTGTGGCTAAACACTGATTACCTAATGACATATTTTTTATTTTCTTGTTTATTATCTGTCTCATCCCACAAGAGTAGGGATTTTGGCAGTTTCATTTTTTGCTATCCACTCAAACCTCTGATGGGCCTTCTGTACTTAGAAATACTTGCTGAGAGAATGAATTATTAGGGTTGTGGTGGTGGCTCAGTGGTAGAGCGCTAGCCTAACGTGTGAGGCACTGGGTTTGAGTCTGAGCACCACAAGTAAATAAATAAATAAAGGTCTATGGACAGCTAAAAAAGGAAAGGAAAAAAATATCTATATATTAGTTGTAAATGGACACAACACCTGTATTTTATTTGTTTATCTTCTTTTGTGGTTCTGAGGATCAAACCCAGTGCCTCATACATGCTAAGCAAGTGCTCCACCACTGAGCCATGATCCCAGCCCAAGAATGAACTATTAACGTGATTCCTATTCACTGGCACAGGAATGGGAAAGCTCCCCTTGCAGCTCCCCCAGCCTGTGACCCCAGCCTTTCTCTGCTTGAAGGCTGCCTTGCCCACGTGCTGCCAGCCACCATGCTCTTCCACTAGCTCGTCCTTGCCCTCCTCATCCCCCTTCTCACTCCTTCACCTCTCACTGCATTCTTCACTTCCTTTCTCTTTTTTCCTCTTTAATTTGTGTATTTCTCAGTTCTACTATTTAAAAATTAAAAGTAAAAATTAGTTCATCCTAGAGGCTGTAAAACTCTCCCAACCCCAAAAACAAAATAGAGGCTTGTCTGCAAGCACACCAGTTGAGGCCCTGAATTCTGGAGTGGTTAATGAATATAACCATTCTTCTTTTGTCTGTTTCCCTTTTACGTCTACATGCTGCATCATGTTTAATGTGTTCCGGATTATTAGATACTTGCTTCACTTGACTGGGTCTCATTTTCATATGCAAACAACCTCAAGAATTATGGTCCTAAGTATTGTCATTTTTCATTTTTACCTAACAGACTAAGGTCCTTTAAATCAGGCAGCATTTTCTGTCCCCCTTTCAAAGATTTCCTTTTCTTCTTCAATACCAGTATATTTAAGGACTTTGCAATCATGCCCCATGTGCCAATAATATCCAAGAATTATATAATCTATATATTCCCTGTAGGTCACAGGAGCACAAATTACAGTGCTTGTTTTTATAGTGATTCTTAAAAACTTACAGAGAAGAATGGAGACAAATGGACCTTACATCCCTATTACTCCAAAGATAGCTCATTGATTTAGAACACACTAGAGTGATTAATGGGTAATTTTGGAACATCGTTTTACAGTGAATCTATAAATATAATTAAATGTTTAGGTAATTATAACATAATTATTATACAATTATAATTTTGTAGACATCTTTAGATATGTAGAGATTCAGACCTTTTAAATTTAGAAGGTAAAAGTTATTCACAATTATCAGGCTGTAATTGAACTCATGGTAATTTTTATCAATATCAATGTACTAGGCATTATGATTCATCAGTTTCCACATAGTAACTTCAAGTTGCTACATTTTAGAGAAAACTACCCTGTGTACTGCCAGCTTCCTGCTTTCCCCCTCCCTTTATTGTAATATCTAAATAGTTATATTCTATATGCAGTTGTTTAGCAGTGTTGGATTGAATATTTTCAGTGTCCACGTGCACTGTCATACCTATGGAGATGAGCAGAGTGCTGACTAGGAAAGGAAAAATTATGGAGTTTCTACCTAAGTTTTCCAGCATGATTTAAACCTTGTTGGTGTTAATCTTGGTTGACGGTAGACAGTGTGAGAAGCTCTTCACATGTTGCAATGACGTTTGATGTCAGACACTCCAAGGCCAGGCTTTACAGGGTGAGGGCACAGTCCTCCACAAGACACCCTTCAGCACCAGCTATAAGTCTAGGGGTTCTCAGACTCACTTTTGACCAACTAGATACAGATTTGGGGGTTCCCTTGGTAATTTGTTAGAATGATTTGCAGAACTCAGGAAGGTGCTTTATTTAGCAGTTTTATTACAACCAAAAGAACACAGATCAAAACTATCTAAAGGAGAGGTGCAGAGGGTGAAATGGGGGAGGTTTCCCTCCTGCCTCCATCTTGTGATTACTTTGAGCTCATTTTGCTAATCCAGGATAATCTCCCCATCTTGAAATCCTCGATTTAATCATATTTATGAAGTTCCTTTGGCCATTAACAGGTTCAGGACTTGAACATCTCTTCTTTGGGGAGGTGGATTATTCAGGTCACCATTCAGAGTTGCATGTGCCTGTTGATAGTTTTTCAAAGTTTAAATTATTAAGATATAACCCCATTTAAGCAAATTAATTATATAATTAAGGTCCCTCCTCCCCTTTGAAATAGTTTAAGCCAGGGTTTTATTGTTTGTTTGTTTCTCTGCTGGAGATCAAACCCAGTGCCTCACAATCCAGGCAAGCCTCTACCACTGAGCCACCACCCCAGCCTCTGTATAATAGTACTCTTTTGATATAGAAGTCTCACTGTGTTGCCCTCGCTGGTCTCAAAATCCTGAGCTCAGGCAGTCCTGCCTCAGCTTCCTGAATAGCTGGGATTAGAAGTGTAGAGGTACTCACCACCTCAACTTGTGTGTACTGGTATTTTTTTTTTTCCTTTTGGGTACTGGGGATTGAACTCAGGGTACTTGACCACTAGCCACATCCCCAGCCCTGCTTTCTATTTTTTATTTAGAGACGTGGTCTCACTGAGTTGCTTAGCATCTCTCTTTTTGCTAAGGCTGGCTTTGAACTTGGGATTCTACACTTGATCTTAGCCAAAAGGCCGAGAAGCGATGAACTTGGGATTCTTGCGCCTCAGTTTCCCAGACTGCTGGGATTACAGGTGCACACCACTGCACCCAGCTTTAGTGGTACTCTTATTGCTTATAATACACTTAAGTTTTTGTTCTGCTTTTTCAAAAAATTGTCACAAATTATAGAATTGATTTCATAGTATACTAACGTATCCCAACAATTTGATAAAAATCAAATTACATTGGGAACAGAGTTTATGCTATTCTTGTGACCATTATATTCTAGTCGGTATAAAAAGGACAAGACAGAAAAATAGGAAGTATATAGTAAGTCAGATAATGCAGAATGAATCTCCTTTATCCAAAATGGTTGGGACTAGAAGTATTTTGGATTGGGTGGGATTTGGGAATATTTATATGTACATAATGAGATAATATTGAGGATGGACCCTAAGCCTAAACTCAAAGTTTATTTATGTTTCATAGATACCTTGTAACCTGAAGGTAGTTTTATGTGGTTCGCTTAGTACACCTGCATTTTGACTGTGACCCATCACATGAGGTCAAGTGTGAAATTTTCCACTGTGGCTCCATGTCAGCACAGTTTTGGGTTTGGGAATATTTTGAATTTTCAAATTAGGGATGATCAACTTATAATAAGTGCAGTGGAGAGAAATATGGTGCTAGGGGGTGGTAGAGCACTTCCCTAACATGCATAAGGCCCTGGGTTGCATCCCCAGCACTGTGAGAAGGAGAGAGATAAAGCATTATAAGGAAAATGGGAAGGATCGAAGGTATAGGAGTTAATGTGGAATTATTTTTACATTGAATGTTAGGAAGGTATTTGAACATAGACCTAAAGGGAGTGAGAGAATCAACAAATCTGAGTTTTCCAAGTGAAATATAATTCTTCCGGGTTTATTTTTGAGAGCCTGCACTATGCCCTGTTTTATTCCTTCTCCCAACTTCTTTCTCCGTTGTACAAGATTAGCTTTCCCTTTTCTTCTACTTTTACAGACTTGAATTATTACCAGGTTTCAGAACAGTGCATGTTAGTATTCCAACCACTTTCCTAAATTCTTCTTTTTCTTTTTTTTTTTAACTTTTCAGTTGTAGTTAGACGCAATATGTTTATTTTATTTATATGTGGTGCTGAGGATCGAACCCAGGGCCTTGAATAGGTGAGCATTCTATCGCTGAGCCACAACCCCAGCCCCATTTCCTAAATTATTCTTGAAGTATAATTTCTACCAAAACCTAAAGTACTATTTTATGCCCAAAGAAAAGGTAAATAAGCTTTTAATTTATGTTATTGTGGTTGGAACGTAGATTGTTTTTTTGTTGTCTTGAAACCATCTGATTTCAAGCTTGTGGCTCTCATAGTAAACATCATATTTACACTTCTAGAAATGAGCCACATTTTACATGTTGGAGTTAGAAGACTCTTGATCCCACTCTTTACTTCCATCTGGGTGAAAAACATGAGAAAAGGATAAATGATGTTGTAAGGACAAGATGACTCTTATAAGGCCTTACCCTATGTCCTTACTGTGATTTTTTTTTTTTTTTTTTTGGTTCCAGGGATCAAACCCAGAGGCACTTAACCACTGAGCCACATCCCCAGCCCTTTTTATTTTTTATTTTGAGAAAAGATTTCACTAAGTTGCTCAGCCTGGCTTTGAACTTGTGATCCTCCTGCCTCAGCGTCCTGAGACTCTAGGTTTACAGGCATGTGCTACTTAATCTGGCCCTACTCTGAAATTCTGATATTTCTAAAGAAAGTATTAACCTGTCCTTATTTCTGAATGTTGCTTTCTCTTATAGGCAATACAAGTCAAAATGAGATGGAAACTCTTCACAAATTTGCATTAAAATACCTTTCACATGCAGAGCTATCCTGCTGGCAAATCTGGAAACAGGTTGCAAGTGAATTAACCAGATGTCTTCAGAGGAAGAATTTCCAGTTATCACAAGGTAATTCCATTCAGGTTTTTGAAAGTGAGAGCATTATAAAGAACCATAAAGGAAATGGTTCCAGGTATGCTGAAAATGAAGAGTTTTCAACTTTAAGAACCCAGGATTCTTGCCAGAATGCATATCTGATCAAGTCACAGAATCTCAGTAGAAATAAGCAAATTGATGTGAAAAGCAGTCTGCATTTGTGTGAAGACTTGATGAGGAAATCACCAATCAGTGAACATGTTAAAAATGAGACAGAGCAGAAGCCCTGCAAATGCGACAAATGTGGCAGGAGCGATATCTATGGCTCCAGTCTGCAGTTACCCTTTCAAGAGAAACCACATCCATGTAATGAGTGTGGAGTGAGCTTCCATTATAGTCCAGTGCTTCACCTTCATCAGAAGGTTCACACAGGAGAGAAGTGCTTCAGTCAGAACACACACCTGCAAACTCATCAGAGAGTTCACCCAGGAGAGACACTGGGTAAGTGTCAGGAATCTGGTGATTGCTTTAATAAGAACCCTTTTTATTCTCACCAGTCTAACCCAGGAGAAAAGTCCTATAGATGTGACAATTGTGGCAAGAGATTCAGTAGCAGCACAGGTCTCATCATTCATTATAGGACTCACACTGGAGAGAAACCTTATAAATGTGAGGAGTGTGGTAAATGCTTTAGTCAAAGTTCCAATTTTCAGTGCCATCAGAGAGTTCACACTGAAGAAAAACCATACAAATGTGAAGAGTGTGGCAAGGGCTTTGGCTGGAGTGTTAATCTCCGTGTCCATCAGAGGGTCCATAGGGGTGAAAAGCCTTATAAATGTGAGGAGTGTGGGAAGGGATTCACTCAGGCTGCACATTTCCACATCCATCAGCGAGTCCACACTGGGGAGAAACCCTACAAATGTGATGTGTGTGGTAAGGGCTTCAGCCACAATTCACCACTGATATGCCATCGCAGAGTCCACACTGGGGAGAAGCCATATAAATGTGAGGTGTGTGGGAAAGGCTTTACCCGAAATACAGATCTTCATATCCATTTCAGAGTTCACACAGGAGAGAAACCTTATAAATGTAAGGAGTGTGGTAAGGGCTTCAGTCAGGCCTCAAATCTTCAAGTCCATCAGAATGTCCATACTGGAGAGAAACGATTCAAATGTGAAATATGTGGGAAGGGCTTCAGTCAGTCCTCAAAGCTTCAAACCCATCAGAGAGTCCACACTGGAGAGAAACCATACAAATGTGAAGTGTGTGGCAAGGACTTCAGTTACAGTTCAAATCTGAAACTTCACCAAGTAATTCACACCGGAGAGAAACCATATAAATGTGAGGAGTGTGGGAAGGGCTTCAGCTGGAGGTCAAATCTTCATGCTCATCAGAGAGTTCACTCTGGAGAGAAACCGTACAAATGTGAAGAGTGTGATAAGAGCTTCAGTCAGGCCATCGATTTTCGGGTCCATCAGAGAGTCCATACTGGAGAGAAACCATACAAATGTGGTATATGTGGTAAGGGCTTTAGTCAGTCCTCGGGCCTCCAATCCCATCAGAGAGTCCATACTGGGGAGAAGCCATATAAATGTGATGTGTGTGGAAAGGGCTTTAGATATAGTTCACAATTCATATACCATCAGAGAGGACACACTGGAGAAAAACCTTACAGGTGTGAGGAGTGTGGGAAGGGCTTCGGTAGGAGCTTGAATCTTCGCCATCACCAGAGGGTCCACACAGGAGAAAAACCTCATAAGTGTGAGGAGTGTGGTAAAGCCTTTAGTCTTCCCTCGAATCTTCGAGTCCATCTGAGTGTTCACACCCGGGAGAAACTCTTTAAATGTGAGGAATGCGGGAAGGGCTTCAGTCAGAGTGCACGCCTTCAAGCCCACCAAAGAGTCCACACTGGAGAAAAACCTTACAAATGTGATGTATGTGGCAAGGACTTCAGTCACCGGTCCCGTCTTACATACCACCAGAAAGTCCACATTGGCAAAAAACTCAAGAAATGAAAATTTTTTGTTGACTTCTGCCTGAATGTACAACTTCAAGTTTTTTGAGTCTGTGCTGGTGATGAAACCCTATTAAAATATCGAGAGTGGTAGGGGTTTTCTTCAGACTCAGAATCTAACACATACTTTAAAATGATGACGTAGAACCAGAGTAACAGGACTAGAATTCAGATTTCAGGAAGAAATTGATATTGCCATCCTGTTGGCAAGATCCAGTTAATATAAATGACCATCTTTCAGTGTGACTCTATGCTTAAAGGTATTGTATAAAAGGATATTTGCCATATGTTAACTAGTTATTATTTTTGATCAGGAAGGGTTTTGAACTATTTTCCTTTAACTTTCCTTTTATACTTACAGTGGTCATTATTTTTACTAAAAAGCTGTAAAGCTATGGAAAAATAAAATTGCTGACTAAAAATTTCCTGTTACTAAGGATGTACAATATGATTATTTTATGTAGTATAAAGGGCTATAATTAAGTAGATTCCCAGAGATGAACTTTTGATCTTCAAATGTAAATTTATGTCTGCCATGATATATAAGAAAAGATATTCATTGAATCATTGTTTTAGTAGCAACAAATAACCAGTTGGATTGCCAAAGTATTTTATGCATTATCATTGCATGGAATACTATACAAACACTAAATGAGAGAAAGTAAATTTGTAGTTACAGAGGTTGGAAGATTTTCAGAATTTATTAATCTGGGAAAACATAAAACATGAGTTTTTGTGGAATCCTATTTTTTTAATAAAAAGTATAGATGTATAGATATTTCTAATTATCTCTAAATGATGAGATTTTGATTCATATGTTTATATTTTTTTATTTTGAAATCATATGAAACTTAGAAAAACTGTAAAATTTATATATAAATTCTCTCATATACCCTTTACCCAGATTCATCTTAACACAATTGAGTCAGTCTTCACTTATCTGGATGTGCATATGTATACTTACTGATGCCTATGTATACACACTTTTTTATTAACCACACAAAAGTATATTGCAGTCATCTTGCCCTTACACTCAATACAAAGTATATTTTCCTAAGAATAAGAATATTTACTTAAAACAGCTATGCTATAATATTCAGGAAAATTTAATATTGATATTTAAGATCTTAATTCTTTCACCAATGCCACTTATTACTATAGCTTAATTGTAAGTCTCTAAATCAGGTAGCATGAGTTCTCTAACTTTGCTTTTTCGAAATTGCTTTAGCTATTCTAGTTCTTTGCTTTTCCATGTAATTTGGAGAATCATTTTGTTGATTGAAAAAAAAAAAAAAAAAAACCCTGCATGGCTTTTAATGGGAAGTGTGTTGGAAGACTTGGCATGTTTGGGTCTTCCCATTCATCTATCTCTTTCCTGTTTACTTAGGTGTTTTATTTCATTAGTGATTTTTATTTTTCAGTGCACAGATATTGCTTGTGATTTGTTAGATTTGTAGTGAAAAGTTTTCTGAAATCTTAATGTATTACAGGTTTCTACTTGTTTATTTCTAGTATATAGGAATCCATTTTATTTATATTAATATTGTACTCCTAGAACTCTAGACCTATCTAAACTCACTAGTCTGGTACCTTTTAAATAGATTCTATATAATCATGTTGTCTGAAAATGGAGATACTTATTTCTTCTTTTCCAGTTTGTTTTTTGCTTGTTTGCTTATTTCTTTTAAGCCTTCCAAAAAGTTGTTGCATGGAAGAGTTGAGAGGTAATGTCTTAGCCTTTTTCTTGATCTTAGGAATTAGTCTTTTTTTTTTCTTTTTTTTTTTTTTTTTGTGGTACTGGAGATTGAACACAGAGCTTGGTGCATGCTAGACATGTGCTCTGCCACTAAGCTATGTCCCCAGCCCAGTCTTTTAGGTATTATATTAGCTGGAGGTTTTTGTCACAGCCTTTATATGAAGTTCAGGGAAATCCCTCTGTTCTTAGTTTGCTGCAAAATTTTCACAATAAATGGATGTTGCATTTTCTTAAATGCTTTTTTTCTGCATGTATTAAAATAGTCATGTAGTTTTTCTACTTATTACTCATTCATTTTCAAATGTTGGAGTAACATTGCATTCTTGATAAATCCAATTGATCATGATATATTCTCATATATAGTATTCTACTTGTTAATATTGAGTTTGCATGAGGATTATTGGTCTGTTATCTTCATGTAATATCTTTTTTTCTTATTTTGGTAACAAAATAATGATGGCCTCATAAAATGAGTTGGAAAGTGTTCTATCCTCTTTATTTTCCTAAAGTATTTGTGCAGAATTGGTGGTGGAGAATGGTGTCCTTAGTGTTTGATAGATGTAAGAGTTGAGGCCTGTTGTTATTTTGGAAGTTTTTTTTTCTTTTTAAGCTGGAATTCAGTGTTGTTAGATACAGGAATTTTGGATTTGTGTCTTTTAAGGAATTTGTCCACTTCACCCAAATTGTCACATGACATAAAGTTGTTCATAATTTTCTTTATTGTTTTACTATCATTAGAATCTGTAATCATGTCTTTAAATCCTGCAGTTAGTAATTTCTACTTTTTCTTTTCATAGTTTATTGATTTTTTGACTATTATTATTCTTTAACTTCTGTTTTTATCTTTATTTTTTCTACCTTCTTTTTGGTTTGTGTTTAATTTTCTCCTTTTTAGTTTCTTAAGGTACAAACTTAGGTAACCAACTTAAGGCTTTTCTTCTTTTCCAATATAAGGATTTAATGCTCTAAATTTTCCTCTAAATGCTGCCCCAGCTTCACATTTTATTTTTTACTTTAATGATTTTTTTCCATTTTTCCCTTGTGACTTCCTTTTTTGATCCAAGGGTTGATTTCCAGCTATTTGGGGACTTCCTGAGATTATTTTGTAATTAGTTCTCATTTCACTTTGTTGTACTCTGAGAACATACTAGTGTTGTTTCAGTTCTTTTAAATTGATTGCAGTTAGTTATTGTGGCCCAGAATATGATCTATCTTAATGTATGTTCCATTTGCCATTGGAGAAAAAAAGCATATTCTGCTGTTGTTGGGTAGAACATTTTATAAATGTTAGGTGAGGTTTATTAATAGAGTTATTGAGACTTTTGTATCCTTGCTGGTTTTCTTTCCACTTATTGCATTAACCAGTGAGCACAAAGTCTCTGATTGTAATTGTGGATCTGATTAGTTTTTCAGTCTACCAGTTTTGGCTTCATGTATTTTGAAGTTCTGTTGTTTTGTGTATACACATTTAATTCTATACCTTTTTAGTGAAATTACTCCTTTTATTATTTTTCAGGGGTCCTCTTTTCCCAGGTTAATTTTCTTGTTTTCGTGTCTACTTTGTTTACTTCTATTTTTTTATTTAAAAAAATTTTTTTTGTACTTGTAGATGGACAGAATGCCTTTATTTTATTTATTTTTATGTGGTGCTGAGGATCGAACCCAGTGCCTCATGCATGCTAGGCAATCTGCCCTTGAGCTACAGCCCCAGCCCCTGTTTACTTTTAATATCACCATTCCTTTCTGTTTGTTTCTGTTTTATTATTGCTTTTGAGACAGGGCCTTACTGTGTTGCTTAGACTGGATTCAAACTTGCAGTCCTCCTGCCTCAGCCTCCTTGTAGCTGGGATTATAGACGTGCACTACTGGGCCCAGTTTCCAGCTTTCTTTTTATTTGTGTTGGCCTAATATTAATATATCCATTTTAGCTTAGATCATTGTTGCTTTATTCTCTAGTGTGACCATTTCTGCCTTGTTATTGGTGTGTATATGTCATGTTTCATGTAATTATTGATCAGATATTAACCCATACTTTTAGTTGCCTTTTGCTTTTTCTCCCTTCCCTTTCCTCATTATAACTTCTTCACCAATTAATTTGAAATTTCTAATGATTTCATATTATGTCCATACTTGACCTATTATGCTTCTTTTATTGTTATCTTAGTGATTATCATAGAAATTACAATACACATTGTTGATTTCATGGGCATATGGAATATTTTTTAGGATAGATCACTAGACCATAACACAGGTCCAAATAAGAATAAATCTCAGGTCTCAATAGAATGATAAACATATACAATATATTGTCTGACCACAATTAACTGAAGCGCCTCAATAATGGGAGGAAAACTAGAAAATTCACACACTCTTAAAAATCACCGGGGCAAGACTGTGTCACAGGAAACTTAGAAAATGCTTTGGGATGAAAACAATTCTTCTGAGTTGAAGACATTTATGGTAGAAAATACCAAAAATAGTTCCCTATCCACATTAGAGGTAAAATATTACAATACTGTGTCTCTCCCAACTTAAAACAGCTTTCTTCTTCTGAAACAAATCCACGTTGAAGAAATATCCTGCAAGAAGTCCTTGTGTGTGTGCTTTTACAGGGCTGCTAAAGGTTACTTTGTTTTGGATTCCACCTAACTTTTTTTGTTCCCCCAAAAGCTATTGTTCAAAAGTCCTAAACCCTCATTCCTGCAAATGTGATCATATTTGGAATTAGGATCTTTAATCCAGTAAGATGAAGTTGTACTGAATGGGATGATGGTCCTGATTCAATGTCTGGTGTCCTTATAAGAGGAGCTGGGTGTGTGCACAGGGAAAGGCTGTGTGAAGACAGAGGCCAAGATGACACCATGGCAAGCCAAGGAGTTCCAAAGCTTTCAGAGACTGCCAGAGGCTAGGAAGAGGCAAGGAAAAGCACACCCCTGGAGTCTTCAGTGAGTGTGGCTGTGTCCACACCTTGATTCCTGACTTGTCAGCTCCAGAATTGTGAGAAACATAGGTGCTGTGAGCCACGTATGTTTGAGATAATTTGTTACTGGATTCAGTCTGAGGAAACTGGTGCAGAATATAATGCCTCAAAGTATAATTCATTTTCTTTAGACAAAGGACACTTTATAGAGTCAAAATAATAGAAAACCATATTGCTTGTGGTGGATTTCAATAGTTTTAAATTGTTTCTGTAGTTCTGCAAGTCTTTAGTACAGGTGAGTGCTCATTTCTTTCACCCGATCTTTAGAGTAGAGTTCTAGTTTTACATTGTCCTATTCTGCCAAAGGCTCCTACTTCCATTTTGGGATCAGTTCATGATGTCTCCAATGCCTGAATGGCATCGCTTACCATTGAAAATGCACATAGTAAAAAAATCTAAATCTCAGAATCCCTGCCATTGCCTGGAAACTGAGGGCAATTTGGCAATAATCTTTGCTTATCAGAGGCACAGTGCTGCAGAAGGGAATTCTTAACAGTCTCACTTCTTAAGCATTCAGGAATTAATTTATCAGTGTCTTCCTTGGAGCACTGACTTACAGTGATTAATGGATATAGATTAGAAAATGACACTGCCACTAAGTCATCAGGCTCCTGAGAAACATTGACAAGTGTATCCAGTGGAAGAAATGGGACTCCCAACTTTTTCATTGTCTGGTCTTGAAGGTTGTTGCTGTATGGAT